AAGATGGTGGCCATACCTTCATGGTCAAAGCCCTGCCCCTTTTTAATGTATGTCATGTATGTGGGAGCTGCAATGGGATTTCAGGAGGAGGGGAGCCAAGAGTCCCCTTTAGTAAGAAACAGACTCTTTGCAAGCACAAGGCAGTAATACGCTGCCATTTTTAAAGTTGCCTCAAAATACCTTTTCCCCATTCCCAGACAGACACAATGCCACTGATGTAGGTATGTATGGCTGGCAAGGGCAAGCCCCTGGTTGCAACGTTATTTAATTAATGGGGGACTCCTCTAGCATGAGCCTGAGATTGTGCCTTCCTTTGGATTACCTCACTGAACCAGTTCCTCTAAAAATGGACAAATTCCTTCTGGAATGCCTTCTAAAGGCATTTTAAAAATACTTCGTGGCTGCAATACAGCTGCCCTTTGACCAATATCATGTCTATGTGGCACTGCTTAGAATAGCTATAAAACTCAGATGAACAGGCCACTTTTAACTGATTGTTAACCACCAGACTGTATTCTGGGCATTCTAGTTCTCACTCAGCTAACTATGGGTCACTAAGCTTTTACTGCTGTCCTTCCTCACTGGGCCATCCCAAGGCTCCATCTGAGAGTTTTGGCTTACATCAGGATCTGTTGTGTAGTTAAATATATTGTAAAATACATGTAGAGGCATCGTTTTCATGAATGTTTAGTTATTGCTTCCTTTGAGGCTTTCCAACAATTCCTATTCGTCCTTCCATGTTTATGGCGTATCACTTTTTAACTTTGTCGTCATCGTCATCAAGATTGTCATGAATATGATTTCATCTCCCTGGGTCTGTCAAAAAATACTCTTTGAAGATTTCACAACTCTGAAAATAGGCTAAATGTTTTGGTTAATAGTAATTTACTTTTTGGAGGCGAATCATTGCTGAGTTTGAAGTGCCCTCTAGTGGCGAATAATGAAAAGAGAAAGGCAAAGGGACAGAAGAGCGTAGGACTGAATTCTTTTGAAGATCTCTAAAGAACATGATGTCCCCATCCCACTTCCCATCAAATGTGTTTTTGAAACTTCTGAATCACTGGTTTTCTTTTGGATTCTCCCTGATCTTTGAGAAATGAAAGAACTAGAATATTGGAGATGATGATGATGATGATGATGATGATGATGATGATGACGACGACGACGATGTGTTTGCAGCTCTGCTAAGACAAGAAATATATTACAAAAATTATTTCTATATTCTCCATAAATGCATTAATGTGCATTCATAATAATGAAAGATAGAGCATATCTTAGTGCAATTACGAATGCTTATATGGAACCACTCAGGTAACATTTAAATGAATCTGACTGAGACATTAGGATAAGTGAAGCCCCCTTTGGATTATGATGGTTCGTTTTTTGGTTCTGTCCGTTTGTCATCCTTGCCATTTTTTATTCTTATTTTCTGTTCATTATTTTATTTTTTTTCCTTGTTTTTAATGTTTTTATTTGTGAACTACCAGAGTAGTTGGGAGTCAGGCAGCATATACATTTAAATAAATAAATAAATTATCTATAGCACTTTCTGTTTTGTCCCGTTCATTTCATTTAGACCTAGATACAATTTGCTTTTTCTGTCATTAGAAAAATGTAGCATAAAGGGCTAATAAAACCATAATATTCCAGCTATGGGTGAGAATTCTAAGGATAGTAAGTGCCATTCAGTTCCTGATTCAGCACGTAGGAACCCTGAATTTAGATAGTTCATTTTCTCTTCCTCGTAGTACTAATTTACTTGGACAATGGCTTTTTACTGAAAGCAAATGAAACTGAACTAGAGAATTGTGAACAGATGGAAAGGCTAGGGCATGGGATCATTATCTCTTGCAGAATTGGTTGGGTGATTTAGTAATACATGTAGCCTCTCCCAGAAACCACAGTTCAGTCTGATCTCTGACACTGCACATGACTATATTGAGCAAATGCCAGTTTCTTGTCATTGCTCCAAAATCTGACGCTTTGCTTTGATGTTGAGGTGAAGATGGTTGCCATGGGTAGCTTTTAGCAATGAATTAATTGCTACTTGCAAGGTTTTGTCATTCATTTTGTGAAGGCCTGGGCAGACACTGTTCCCCTTCTCTACCCCAATCTCATTCTATGCCCCTATCTCATTCTATGGGAGGAAAGAAAGATTATTGGAGAGTTGCAGAATACAGGGCATCCTCTTCCTGAACTTCCATCTCTTGATATCATCTGGCCCACAAAGTAAGTGTCAGGTAAAAAATGGGCTTTTGGCCAGATGCAGTTCCTCACCCCTACACCAGGAAATTATACCTCCCCTTTCTTTCTGTGCAGTGGAAGGAAAATGCCATTCACTACTTTTTCTCAAGGGAGAAGTTTGTTATATTTTTAGGTATTAAGAGAAGATAATCTGGAATACAGATTATCTAGAGCATCATATGCAAGTGGGTTAATATTTGCAAGTATCATATACTATGTAATTACTATGTAATTATTGTGCTATGCAACTGGACAATTTATTGCAAACTTTCCCTACCCGGAGTCCTTCAGAGATGTTGTTCTCTGCTTTCTTTGTTATACTGTCTTGATTTTTCTAAGAATCATAGTCATGGCTTCTCACTCAGTGGTCAATTCCTTTTGTAGGCCACTCCCTCAGGACTGGTCTTATCATCCTCCCTGTCCTCATGGGAAGGACAAGGAAAGCTACAGGTTCAGATATCTCTTCCCTCATTATAACACGCAACAATATGGATGCCTTCTTCATCTGCTCTAGTTTTCCCCTGAATTGGCAGAAACAGAATACCTTTGTGACTTGCAGGCTTCAGATGATCAAATTAGCTCATCTGAACTTTCCTAACCCTTAAAATAGGGCTGTAAATTGTATGCCCAGGGTACTGCATGTGACCTGGCAACATCTATCTGTGGTCTTCAAAGCCATCTCCCTTAGTGAGTGGGGTCCAAAAAAATGGGCCTTTTCTCATAAGGATGGGGGCTGAAAGAATAGGCACCTTAAGATTTGTAGTTGCTTAAGGACATCCATCTCTCATTTTAAAACTCTTGAACCTCTTCTCAAAACAGCCCCTGGTCTCACTCCCTCTGGCGTGTGAGTCTGGTGAGGGCCTTGAGTCAATGGATGTTGCACTCATCTGCTTTTGTCCTAATCATTTTGCTGTTATCAAGATGGCCATATTACAGTTTCCTGTACTTGTTTTATTTTGAAAAACATAGCCTTTTCTCAAATGTGAGATGACTGAGAATATATACAGACCTGCCAAAAAGTGTGCTGTAATGTGGATTTGCATAGGGGAATTAGAGTGTATTCTGGTTTTGCTTTTCAAGTTGTTTTCTTAATAGTTCCCAACAAGCTTTTGCCTGTTCTTTTTCCCTTTTTTCCTTGACAGCTTCAGTGCATGAAGGAGATGTTTTCTGGCTGGCTCTCTAAGATCTCTTTCTTGAATGGCAATGCACATAAACACGAGCATAAAGAGTGAGTCTGATTCCTCCCAGAGAGCTGTGTTTAGACGAGTCTGTTTTATAGTGAACCTCACGGATCTGATGAACAGACAATAAAAGGCAGCAGAGAAAGGAGACAATGTGCTTTTTCTCTATTGGAGTTTGGCTTCAGGCAGTCCATTCAGCGCCTCTCCCAAGAGAACCAAATAGGCATTAAGGCACAAAGATTCAAACAGCCTTGACTGAAGATCTCCTGTTTGATGGAAAACAACATGACTTTCTGGTAAATATTTAACCCAGGGAACTCCCCTCCATATGGATCCAACTTGCTGAGGTAGCAAAAGGGCACTTTGCCCCGGGGAACATGCCAGCACTTTCCAGTATAAATACCCATCATAATGATAAAAACCATCAAGGCAATGGAGTGCTGTGTTATCATTCCAGGGTGACCTAGGAGGCCTGGCAGAGCAGTGGAAGAAAATGAGCCTGCAGCCACATCAGCCTCTTTTTCCATGCTTTACACTGGTATCAATTTAGAGATGCACGTGACTGGCATTCTGAATTTGTGCTTCAAATCATAACACCCAAAATGCAATGGAGCAAGCCAAGATGGAATTTGGTTTCCCAACGCATATAATCACATACAGGCGTGAAGGAAGAAATCAACACAAGGATATGGATGAATAAGGACCACGAGTTTATTCAGCTGTCAATAGGATTTTCAGTAAGGTACATTTGAACAATTCGTTCAAACCACCTTTCAGTTGAGGCATTTTACTTTGGGGAATGAGGCAGTTGGAGCAAATTTCTTCCTCAGCAACTCAGAAGTTGTCAGTTTCGGGTCCTCAGACAGGTCATGGTATCAGGCAATCAGTCTCTCTGGCTGCTATTTTCTAGCAACTTTCATCCAGAAACATGTGGCTGCTAATCATGAAGACTTTAAACTCTATCACCTCCATAAATTTGTCTAATCTCCTTGAAAAAAGTCATCCAAGTTGCTGGCGATCATCAGTTAGCTTACTAGATCTGGGCTGAAAAACTATTCATTGCCATCTAGCAGTTGTCCAGATGTTTGCAGCTCAGATCTCTAGCCCTAATAATTGCATTGTACTTCATCTTCTGTAAATAATCACTCACCGTGTAGGTTATTTAGATGATTCCGGATCATCCCCATGTTTGAGCAATCAGTTTTTATCTCAGACTTCTGAATATTAGTTGATACTTTTCTTGGGTTACCACTTCCAAATGTTTCAGTGTGAATTAAGGGAAGCCTTTCTGAATTAGTGTCCCCTTCAGCCAAACAGCCCTGAGTTTGAGTAGGCAATGGGGAAACATCTCATGTTCATTCTTGCCTCTGTTACTCTAAATCATGTAGCTGTAGGAGCTTGGGCTGAAGAAACTTCCTGTGATCCTCTCAAACAGTCCTCATGGTATTTACCATGATTACTGTCTTTCTCTTACTTTCTTAGCCTATGGTGACTCTGACTAGCAGAGCAATAAAATGGACTATCCAAATAAGTAATCTTTATCACAACCCTGAGACAAAATAGTGGAGTTTTCTGTGTTAGTATGAAGATCAAGGAATAACAACATAATTCTTGCAAACAGTCAGGTTCAAGTGGGAGAACATCTCTGCTTGACTCTCAAGTCTTTCTCTGTTAAGCCAAAGAATGTGTGTGTATGAGTCTTTGGACTTCAGTAGTGTGGCCCATTGATGACTCTCACTGGCTGCCTTGCATGAAGTAGCAGGGAGATACAGTGCTAAATCATGGCTGCGTGGTCTCTCCCATCTCAGCTCCATATATAATTTCCATCCCAGGTTCTTCCTACCTGAGGAAGAAAAAAAACAATTCAAAATGAAACTAACATTCTTTTTACAGATAAATGCAGTCATGAGAGTTGATCAGCCTGTGAGTTAGTTTATTCCCTCCAGAGACAGTCAACAAATAGTTACGTTGGTAGCCAGTTTAAAAAAAAACCCGGTGTGCCTGTTCCACCTAGTGCATACAGGTTCCTGGCTGAACCTCCCCTAGGAGATAGTATTTCATTTTCCAGGTCAGCTATAGTTTTTGCATTGAACAAAACATTTCCCCGTAATGGGCGAAACAGAATCCCATGTGTTTTGCTCACAGTCATGTCTTATAGGATTAGTTTTCCTATATTGATTGTCTGGAGGGTATACGAGGAGTAAAAGGTGGGAATGGTGGCATCAAGTTCATATATTCATATGAACTTATGAATTATAAGTTCGTATATTCATATATTCCACTTTTAAGATATTAACACATCTTTAATATCTTTAAGATATTAACACATCTTCTTCTTGAACCATTCAGAATCCCATTTCCCTATCTGGAAAACAGTCATTTTCTAAAAACCTAAAAATAATTTCAAAATGCAGGCAAATGGATAGTGACGACCAAAGTTATAAATATTTTATGTTTCAATCTGGAATTGAGCATCAAGGGAAGTAAATATTTTAAACTCCAGCAGTAGCTATGGTGGCTACAGAGAAAGCAACACTGTTGAATATTTTAACATCTGGAGCCACTTAGTGGCAGGAAAAACCACTTTTGAGCTATACAGAGATGGTTAAATTTCTCTTGCTGGGCATAATGTCCACTATATTAGTTAGGCAACTCTTATTTTGTACTTCATGACTGCCTTGCCTGAACTCAAGTATGTAAATATTTGGTGAGGCATTTAGCACATTATCTGAACTGTGGCACAGAATGTACTCAATATACCCATATACCTGTGCTTTATTTTTTTAATAAAGAGAGAACATGCATCTGGTCCTTAAAAACCAGTGCATGATAACATGCAGTTAATTCACTCTAGAAAATATTTTTTTTAAAAAAATGAATGAGGGTCACAGGCAAATCTTACTGTTTACTAAATGCAAGACATCTATCCAGCAGGGCCAAAGTCAAAGTAATTAAGTAAGTAAGTAAATAAATATTTCCTATCTAGCAGAACTCCCCATAACTCTCAATTAATATTTGAATCTTTAAACTATTTGCCCAATATTTCAAATGGGTAACATGCTATATTGTCCTTGCTTTAATGACTGCCCTGTTTAGCGACCATTCAAAGTTATAATGGCCCTGAAAAAGTAACTTTATGACCGGTCCTCGCACTTACTACAGTCGCAGAGTCCCTGTAGTCACGTGATCAAGATTCAGGCACTTTGCAACTGGCAGGCATTTACAACTGTTGCAGCAACCCATGGTCACGTGATCGTCATTTGTGCACTTCACAGCCACCTTCCGACAGAGTCAATGGAGAAGCTGGCAGTAATATTGCAAGTCATAGTCACATCACTTAGCATCAGAGTTGCCAGTCCCAATTGTGGTTCTTTAGAGAGAACTACCTGTATACCTTCATGTACTCATGTATCCTTAGAAACAGGCTGAAATTTTACTTTCTTTGAGATAAGCTACATTCACCCAAGAATAGGTCCCATTGAACTCAGTGAGGCTTACTTCTGCATAAGCAAGGGTGAACACAATGAATGTGTAACTTAGGTGATAGGTGATGCTTGAGATCACTATCAGAAAATAGACATATAATTAGCATTCCCCAATAATGTTTCCTTCAAGCATGTTGGACTTCAAAATCCATTGTTTATAGCCAGCACTGTCCCACTCTCCTTAGATAACAGGAGCCGTAGTTTGCATTTGGAAGGCCTTGAAAGGACAACCAGCAGCAAGGCGGATGGACTCAGTTACAGTGGTGATGTTTGCATCATTGGAAGACCTGAAAGACCAGGTTACGGATAGATCATCATGGAGAAAATCTGGTCACTAGGACTCAAAAATGACTTGATGGCACTCAATCAATCAAACTGGGGAAGGTTGTTCTAAATCACCGTGGCTGAACTCTGCTTGGTGTCAGATATTTGCACAGATTCCTTATGGTCACTAACATTTAAGGGGGTAGTGGAGTTTGGAACTGCCAGAGTATTGTGGGAGTTTGAAACTAAGCCCAAGCAATGGTTAGCAGTGCAAGAACACATGCCAAGCTTTATGTTAGGCTATATTTCTTTTGGGCTCAATTGATTAGTCTGGCTAATTAAACATATAATACATTCTATTATCAGGCATTCACTGACTCTATTTTATGGCTCTTGCAGATATAGATTCTATTACCCAGTTCTGACATAACACATAGGGCCATTAGAGAAGCCTCTGAAGAAGCTATTTTTTATGGATGGCTTTTTGCTAAATTGACTGCTTAATCAGAGTTTTATTAAAAGACTTTTCTCCCCTCCTCCTTTCTGGTTACATCTTTGAACGTCCAACCCTGGGCGGAACAAAGACAAGAGTCCACAGCACAGCTATGCACGGCTTTCCATCACATGAGCACAGTCTTTCTGTTCAGATTTATTTGCCACCAGAGAACAATAACCATGAAACACAATTAGTTTATAACACCTCTGGTACAAGACCTGGTTCTTTGTAGTTCCACAGTCCTAACTTCATTTAGGCCTGTACTTACCTAGTATGAAACTAATGAAAGCTAATTAGCTAATTTGTTCAATTCATTCAATTAAAAAAGAGGCAGTACACCTCTGAATATGCTTTGCATGTGGCATGGCACCGTTCTGTGGCATTACACCTCCACTTTAGTGATGATTCTAAAGTGTACACTGCATGGGTTTCAGTAAGCCCAAAAGGACTGGCAGTGAGGCTGTGAAACTTCTCAATCCCCAGCATATTTCCCATTAGATTGTTTTGTACCTTCCTAAGATATTCTGTCTCTAGACCATTGACTGATAGACATGAATAAGTTGAACTAAATATTAGAGGAGTGGACTGTTTAATATTTCATTGTTAGTATAAATTTCTCATAACGTAAGATATGAGATTTAATTCAGATTTCATTTGTGTTGTGAGTGGTTAAGAAAAGAAATTCTTGTCAGACTTATGGGACTTAATCATAGGCACTAATGGGCAACTAGGCTGCTGTTTCTCCAAGGAGCCTTGAGTCAAATTCTTTTGTTGTCATTACTGTTTTTTTTACCAAAACTTTGAGGAAATATAAAAAAGGGGCAGCAAGGTTTTCATCGTTTACAGTATTTCCAAATACTAATTTCGTGTTCTCTTGTAATCTCTTATTATATTCATTGAATACATTCTTTCAATTTGGACTTGAGGTTGGAGAATAGTTGTCTCACAAGAGGCTTCTCCTCCATGTGTCTAAACATTGGGATTCACTTGCTCATATTAATTTATCTGGGCCTAAAAGGAAAGAAGAAGAAAAGAAGCTGCCTTGCCTGCAGGGCTGGGGAACAATGTGGAATCCTAGCTAGTTTCTACCTCTCTGAGGCAAAAAAAATAAAAAATAAACCAACTCTGATTTCTGGAATTAGGGGGAAGGGGAACTAGCAAAGGAAACTGCTAATTATATGCCTCCCTCAAATGAAGTTGTAAGGTGGCATTTAAATAACTTCTATCCACTAACCAAGTGGAGCAGAATAATTGGGATTGCAGGTCTCTAACCATGTCTATTCTACCTCCCCTGATTGGCAGGATATTCTTTCTTTCTTTCTTTCTTTCTTTCTTTCTTTCTTTCTTTCTTTCTTTCCTTCCTTCCTTCCTTCCTTCCTTCCCTCCCTCTTTCTCTCTCTCTCTGTTTTATATGGCCAACCAACTCAAACAATGTGAGTCTGGGAGGCATACAGCATAAAAATGGCACGTTACATTAAGGAGATGTACAACAGCTCTTTGCCTATCCTCTTTTCCCTCTCAGCCTAGGATATACAGTGCATCAGGGTGCACAATATTCTGGGAGTGAGGACCATACACGGCTTTTGGAATGCCAGGGCTCACAGTCCAAACACTAGAAGACGGAGGACAGAAACAGATTACATTACATTACATTACATCAAACTGTGGTTTGGTGTGTGAGCCCTATTCAGGTGTTTCACTGAAAAACTTTAGAGTAGTGAAGAATATGGATTCTTGGCCCTGTCTTTGATGTCTTTGTTTTGGTTTTTGGTTTTTGTTTTTGTTTTTGTTTTTTTCATATTACAGAGGTCAAAGTTTTTGGTCATGTCAGGTTCAATTGATTTCAGCTCCAGATGGTCTTTGTTCTAATTGATGAAGGCTACTCCACTGAAGTGATTTGATTTTGCCAAATAACTGAGCAGAGTCATAATCTTCTAAAAAGCAAAGAATGCTGAATTTCTCTCTTACTGGCTGTGCTTCAGCACCATGGCTAGAGCTTGGGGGTGGAGATTTAAAATAAAAGGAAAAGACAGCCATATATCCTACTTTTTGAATGATTGATTTCCCCAAGCAGAGAGTGCATGGTCTTAGCCTCTCTTGACTTTTCCTTCTAGAAATTAGAGAATTCAGTAGATCTGTATTAGTTAACCAAGGCCTTCTTCTTAACCTGTGTATACCCTAGCCCTGTATGACTGCTACAAATCAGGTCCATGTATCAGAACAGTAACTTTAAAACATTGCTACTATCATGGAACTTCAGCTCTTCTAGACATATATACCTGGAATTATTCCTGGAACGGCCCATTATCAGTCCTTTGACTCTATATACAAACACTAAATCTTAATTGCTTTTTATTACAATTTTATCTGATGCTTTAGATCCTATCTGGGTACTTTCTCATTTCATTCATTTGAAGCTATTCTTAGATAATGGTGGTATGATCAAGTTGCTATTTTCCTGTTTTGTTAAAATAGTTAATTCAACTATTTTCAGTTTGGGAAAGCCCCCACAAAATTTGCTTCAAAGCTCATTGCAAACCTAAAAGAGTCTAGTTCTGCTTCCTCCAACTGATGTCATCTCTTCTACAACTCCTAATATTCCCAAACAATACCTTCACCGGACAATTCAAATATTCTAATTCTAATAGTCACTGGTATGCCCAAATGAAATAACCTTATTCAAGCATGAGCCTAAATACTGAGGGCTTAAAGTAGGACATGCATTTGCAACAGTCCTCTGGTATATATGGACTGCCTCCTTTGTTTTGGTCCTTTCTAAAATGAGTGGTATGGACTGGAGAGATTCAGGTTCACACTCACTGGGTGACTTTGGGTCTCTATATCTCACCTACCTTACATAACTATTGGGAGGATACACAGGAAGGTGAAGAACATGTCCATTGCTTTGAGCTCCTGGAGGAAAGGAAGATAGGAATGTTAATATTAAATAATCATTTTATCTTACACTTGCGAACCTTACTTAATGCAGACCCATCAAACTAATTCTACAAATGCAAAATGCATAGCTGATGCTAAGTTACAACTCTGAAAGAAAACAGTTGCTCAAAAGCTTTCTTGTATAGCTGACAAAATGCTTATTTGGTCCTTATTTGATTTCTCTGATACATTAGAATGCAGGTATTCCTGGAATAAAAGGATATGTGCTTAGCTGGATTTGAATCCAGAAATAGTCACACTCCTTTCTCAGCCTTGTTTCTCTCAATAACTGTGTTCTTTCATCATAACTTTTCTATGCTCTTCTGAATAGAGTATGTCCTTAGGGAATGTCACCTGCAGGGATTCTAGGATCAAACCTTAGTTTCTGCCTCCTTCATTAGAACAGCTCCCCCCTCCCATTATCAGTCACATCCCAACTCTATTAGTCTTTCATAGAGCCATTAAGACCTGTTCCCCCACCTCCCCAGAGGGCCTTTGGAGACTGAACAGGCCATTTTAATCTCTCCTGGATGGAGATTATACCATGGTAATCTTTGTTGCTTGGAATGTTATATATTATTTTGTTGTGTTTATGTTATTCTATTGGTTTTTAATCTTATTACAAATCTGGAGATCTCTAAGCCACTTATACGCAGACCTGATTGGAGTGGCATGCATGCCTAGTAAAAGAAATACATTTCAGGTTCAGAACAGACCCGCTGTTAAGGCATTTGGCCTCTCCTGCTGCACCAGAGAGACATCTTTTATGTGCAATATGAAAGATGTAAAGTAACAGATCAAGGGTGGCTGGAAATGGCTAATCTCTTGTTGGAGTTTAGTAATTTGTTTTTGGCCTTTGGTATATTACAACGGAAACATTTTGTGGCTGGGCTTTTATGAAAAAGCTTTAACTCTTTGACAACTTCCGTAACAGCTTTTTTTCCCCCTTTTAATAAGGCATCATATTAAGTTAATCTTTAAATGAAGTTAATTGCAGTTTCTATCTTAGAGATCAAATGCTGTTTTAAATCCTGTGTGATGTGAGGGCAGGGGAAGGATGCCATTTATGTAAATATAGTCATTGGCTCTGGCTGGAAGTGGATGACACAAAACACTACAGGATAATGTTACTTCTAATATCCTAAGATTATATGGTCAAAAGTTGTAGGAAGAATACCTTTGGAAAAATACCCCCAACATGATCTGCAGAATAGGCTTCAGATCATGTTGAGATGAGTAGCTAGGCTGATAGGTTGAAGATTTAGAGTTGCCACCAGCATTTTATACTGTCATACTTTTCTATGAAATGTTTTGTGTATTCCGATACATTTAACACCTAGGCTTTTGTAAAATTATTGCACACAAAGCTATGATTGGATACTGATGTTGCTTTAGAATCTTTGAAGTTCCCAGTCAAGATTATTTATATCGCTCACTATTTGTTAACAGTGGTCATATTTACATTGTGCACTCAATGTGGTGCTTCATAATGCAGTCTTATATCCTAGAGGTTGATAGCCTATTAGTTAGAGCAGTGTTTGCTCATCCTTGGCAACTTTAAGACATGTGGACTTCAACTTCCAGAATTCCCCAGCCAGCAGTTAATCATTTTTGGAGAGGAGAGGGCTGGAATGGTTGGATAATGATATAGTTGCTTGGTTGCACAATTGTCTTACACATGAGTGAGACTGGGATTTTCCAGTTCTTTTCCCAATAATTTTGGGCTGAGTGTAAGGTTTTACTTTATTTATTAAATAATGTAGAACTTTTAGAGGTTAAAGTATAGTTTTCATGTATTTCCCTCTTCAGTGGGAAAATGCACTGCTGATTTTCAGCAAGTGCTCTGTAGAATTTTGGAGAGGATTTAAGGGCAGCAAAACAAGCACTTCCTATTAAAAACAAAAACACAGGTTGCCCATTCTTACAATTTGGATCTAAGTCTCTTTTAACTGTATGGGACTTATTTCTGCATAATATATGAAGGGGTATGATGCTCCTGGCTTAATCCACCCAGATGGGGCTACAAGGAATGTACTAGCAATGAGTGTGTATGTAGCCAGGAGATCTTAAGCCATATTGATGTTTTTTTTACCAGCATTAGTGATTTGTGTCATCCCAAAATGTTGATTGGCACCAGCAGGGCTCTTTAAGAGATACGTTGTACCTTCCATGCAAATGGAGAGAGAGAGGAAGAGAGAGAGAGAAGATTTTAAGAAGAAGATAAGTAGTAGGTGTTGTATCACCCTTTCCCCAGAACTCCAGATCTGTATTTACTACATATCAGCTTTGCAGGTTTGGGGCTTCATATCCCCAGCAGACTATGGCAGGCAGGAAATGCCCCCTTTTCTCCCAGGGTAATTGAGAGGAGGCACGTCTAGCCCCATCCTTTTTCTGCCCAGGCAAAATGATGACCAGCCAGTAATATCATATTACAATTAGATTCCTGTGAAATTCTAGTGTGGACCATTTCTGGGGCACTCTGTTTTTCTTTTCAGTAATGGTATATCATTAGAAGAAGCCACAGCAGCACCCAGGATTAAGGAAGGCGGTGTTCATCGCTCCTTTTCCTGCTGTTCCAGGCAGATTTGCAGCAGGTGCCCGATTCTGCATTCCACCAGGCCCTTCCTTGGACGCCAGCCAGTCTGAAGGCAACAGGGAGCAGCTGTCTACACAGTCTGGTAGGTTAGGGGAGGGCTGAGCTCCCCCTCCCCCCATGACTGGGAAGGGCAAGTTTCGCGATGGCCTTCACTCTAATTCAAGCTAATTCTCTTTTAGTAAGATGATCACATTTGTATATGCATAGCATCAAGATGCTTGCTAAATCCAGGTTTGGGGGTATGTGTGCATTTTATTTTCTTGCTATAATTACAAATGTGACCATTAAAGGGCATATGCATTTCGCCAGCCTGATAAACCTGCCTAGAACAGCTGAGCTTTAAGCATGACATCTTACATTTCTAGCACATTTCAAGATATTTAGACACCTGGTGTCTATCAAGACTTACTTCAAAGCCTCATCTCCTGAATGTCAACATAACAAACTATTTGAGATTTGATCTTTCAAAGCTTTCTTTGCCCTTTTCTGTTGGGATTTTGTTTCCGTTTTAGCATTCAGAGCTAGGTGGAAACAATTGGGAATTTTGCCTTCAATAAGAAAGGACAAAGGAAAACAAATGATACTCCCACCTTGAAATTGCTACATTTTAAGGGAAGTCAGATGATACACACACATGCATTTCTAGCAGACAATGACAAACAGATGTATTTTTGTTGTTCTAAAAAAGCAGTATTAAATAAGGACTGGAGCCAAATACTCTGATTAATAATAAACAAGTGTTGGGAATCCATACACCAGATAGCTATAACCAAGGTCTTAAATCCAATGCCAGTGAAGGTTAAACAAGTTGACCTCAGTTTATAATATTTCCTGCCTCCACTTTACAATTCCATAATTATTAATGTTAGATTTATATCCCTCTTTTCTGCAGAATGCTATTGGCTCACAGCCCTGTGAGGTCGGTTGGGCTAAAAAATGTGCCTGTTCCAAAGTCATCCAATGAGCTTCTGTGGGGGTGGTGGGGAGCTGACCCGGGTCTCCCCAGTCCTCATCCAACATCTTAATTATATCACACACTGATCCACTAGAGGAGACGGTATACTTCATAATCTGAAGTAACAGATTGAAATCCATAAAAGCATATGTTGTCATATTGTGGTTAGTTTTTCTGACATGTCGCTCATTTCTTTGTTGCTGTTGTTTTACTTAGAATAGAGAGGAAGAAGATGGAAGCCTGACTTTTAAAGATCTAAACAGTCATAGAGTTAGGACATGATTCTGGTTGGCCATGGGCTGTGTTCAGCTTAACAAGTCCAAAGTTCTAATAATGTAATGTATCCTAAATTATGTGGCAGGGAAAGGGAAGTCTGGCTGAAAGCTCTACTGGTCCTTTTCCATCTGAAAATACCTGGTGTTGATCCCACATCTATGACAGGCAAGCTAACTAGCAGAGATGATGTGAAGAGAATTTAATTCTTTGCTGAAATGTCTGCAGATAAGGCTAGACTGTCATTGCTAGAAGATCAGAATCTCTTTTGTACCTGCAGTTCATAAATGTCTGTTGATAAAGGACAAACATTCATTGTACAGAACTATAACCTAGCTCATAATAGGTTGTTTTCATAAACCATAATCCAATTCTTGCCCCTCGAGAGGATTGCCAAGCTACTAACAATGAAGACATTGGTCTAAGTGAATGAGAAACTACTATCCATCTTTGGATTTAGACTTGCTGGTAGCCCATGTGCTATTATATTGTTTGTCTGCCTTGTTGACTTTGGGCAATTACTTGGCTTAGCATAATCCATGGTCAGGCACTTTACATTACACATGGAACAGGATAGATTGTCCCTTTGTTTCTATATCATACAGTTTGGGTACTTGTAGGAACATTGGAAGTATCGTAATGCTAAATTGTCTAGTTCGCTACTGGTTCCTCCAGTGAGAGTGCTCCAGGATTTCAGACAAGTATTTTTGATCTAGCAACACCAAGGACTGAACTCTATAAACCTGTCATCTAAAAGATATACACTAATACTGAGCTATACTGCTTATCTTAGCAGAATAGGAGAAAGTAGCGGTCAATAATGTGGTTATTACCCAATGTCAGTGAGAGCAACAGACTATTAAAAATGGTCAATTGGTTATAGCTTTCCCCAAGAGTTTACTTACTTTTTCTAAAGTTAACTTTTTTCCTAAAGTTATTGATGTTGCAATTATAGAGGAATCAGGTTATTCTGGTATTGCAAAAAACTAGAGTTCTACATCAGATTTGGATAAATTCTAAATGGAACTGAGCTAAATTTGGATAAGACTGAAATCAGCCCAATTTCTGAACCAAGCTCCCAACATACTGTTAGTGATTAGGAATTTGGGAAGACACAGGTCCCAGACTATTGGTTAAAAAAAAATAATTTTTTTTTTTAATTCTCCAAGCTCTCCAGATCAGAAAAAGTGGAATGAAAACAGAAAAGAAGAGGAACCATATGGTTTTGTGACTTACAGTTTCTACTCACAGTGAATGGTTTTACTGGAGCTCTACAATATGCAGTGCTTTGGGAAATAGCAGTGGAATGCCCATTTCAGTGTTTTTTGTTAGTCTATTTTGTCAGATCAGATTTACTAAATGTTGGTGGAATCTATGGGAGCTGGTAGAGTGTCCTTCTGGTTGTTTGCATGGAAATACAAGATTTTAACATCTTTCTACCTCTGCAATCATATACTAGTTCTGCTCCTGTCCCTTTGCATTTTCTATGACCCTGATCCCAGTTAAGCAGAAAACAAGAAAAAGCACTGACCTGTTTTATTCATGATAATTCTTTAATCCCTATGCCTATCTTTCTGGGGGAAAAAAATCAATGTCTGTGTGTGCATGGGTGTGTGCACTGAGGGATATAGCTATGACGTACCTAATTTCATATAAATTCCCTCCCCGCCCCCCACAAAAAGAGAACCCATGGAGTTAGTAAGGAAAAGAAAATTATTCTGTCCCTCAAAAAAGTAATGCATACTTATCTTTCTGAAATTTTACAAGTTTTTTTTCCTAGGGATATTTAGTTTATTGTATGTCAGTTTCATCATAGCTGCTTATAAAAAACAGAGCTGAAAATGTTACTCCTGCATAAAAGTTCTTGAACCTTTTCATATGAATCTTGGTAGGCATGATTTATCCATTGAAAATTCTACTTTGCAAATCCAATTCTGCCAAAACATATACATTATTTGCATTTTTCCAAGAGGCAACATTTAAAATGTAGAACCTTCACATCATCCCTTCCTGAGAGATATTATTTCTGAAAATTTCACCCCATTTTATCTATAGCATAAATTATAGTTACTTGCTGTTTTCAAAGGATAGTTAATAAGATATCTAGGGAATCCAGATTTCCAAAATGAATTTCAGATTCAGCCCCCAAATCAAACAGGGATGGAGGAAAAGATTCTTAATCAAAAACAAAGGTTTTCAGAATCAAGGGATCTGTACAGAAAGTACAAAAGTGATTTAAAACATCTAATATGTTATATAATCCTCATGGATATAAATGAGACAGTGTTAAGATTCATGGACCAAATTTGAAGTCCCATAGTGGGGGGAAAAAAGTAGCAGGGGAATATAAGGAGCAGAATCAGACTGCAGAGCTCACAATGAATGTAATAGAAAAAAATATTCAGCTTACTAGCTCTACTTTACTATTCTGAATGAAAATGGAGAACAGGATGTAATAAAGTGCAGTGCACAGAAAATGTTCCAGCTATGTCCCAAAGAGGACATTAGGTGATAAGATAGATTTGCTGCATCTAATCTCCCATCACTAATTAAGGAGACCATAAGATCAGCCTCCCCTCTGTGTCTACCAGGAGCTATCACAATTAATTCTCTTCCATGAGAACCAACAGAAAAGCCGGGGGGGGGGGGGGGG